CATAAAACTATAGAAGACATTTCCCTGAGGAAGGCGAGTGGAGGACGGCCATTTTGACGGCCCTTCCCATGCCATGCAACCCATGCCACGCCACGCCACGCCACTGGAAAAATATGCATCTCGGAAAGTTCTGGCGATACTTTATTGCTTACAAATCACGTTGATCACACAAGACTAACTACTTACTACGCACTTCGCACACATTACGTCACATCATATGCCAGAAAATTGACGCACTTTGACATTTGTGACACCTGTCACCGTGATGTCAAATATAAAAATGTATCAAAACTTACATACCCTTACTTCCTATGATTACTTGCATATTGAGCCAAATATGGAAACAAACCGTGTCGATGTTTGATCAAACTATTGGCCGTTTTTATTATTTTTTGGATCCATAGAGGCCCCAATATGTACAGATCATACATTAATATCCACACATTACACGTATAAGGCGAGTTACAAAGTCCATCAATTGCTCAGTCAGTACCGATAGCATATTAGTGTCGCCAGAATAAAAAATACATTTTCGACGAAATCATTTTGTGCTGAAAACGAATTAACGAACTTGTACACAAACTGACGTAGTCATTAAGACTTATTATAACTAGCTACTTGATATGCATAACCTAAAATTAAAACAATAAAAAAATGTCTTTTCTAATTACGTATAACAGATCTGTTTGTCAAATATTTGATGACGTTGGCACAAATATACGTTTGTGTAAATATAAAAGAATAACAAAATCGCAATCACAATTTATGTTTTTAAATTGTTTCCTGTAAGAGTTTCAAAATCTTTGGAGTTATTTGAACTAAGTAAATAGAGATATTTAATTTTTATAACTGATTTCATTATTATCTGTGCCTAAATTATTTTCACTAAATCAGTATTTGTTGTGGCAAACAGTAATATGCTAATATACAATAAACATCGAGAACATCGATAAAAGAATCGAGTACAACACGCTAAATATCAGGTCCCTTAAAATTTCGAGTCAAGTTAATTTTACAAGAATGGAAACAACTTACGACGTCTAAGTATACCTAAAGTACAACCTTTTATCTGACACAATGAGAATTAGCTTAAATGCAAGCTATACAATTTGAGAAACAACATTTTATCTAAAAAAAAAGTTAAAGCGATAAATACACTAGGGACATAAAAGTATTAGTTGATATGGAATCCGTTTGAAACAGAAACTTTTTATTCAATATAGATTATAAATAATACTTATTGAAAGTCACTCTTTTCTTTAATTACCACTGGTTCGAAAAAAACACCTCTGTCCTGGGAAGAACCAGCAAGAAACCCAGCGGGACTTTTTTTTTAAAATAACAGCTTACAATCATGTATGTTACACAATTAACAACACAACAAATTAGAAATAGCGCGGTAGCGATCACCTCATTTCCAGGGGTTATTATTATTATAATAACCCTATTTATACAAACTTAGTTTAATAAAGTTTTTGAACTTTGAGCAGGGCAAATTTTGTATATTTTCTGGGATTTTGTTGTAAAAGCGTATACATCGCCCCAAGAATGAATTACTGACTCGGCGGAATCGAGTAACTGGTACTACTAGCTACTACTTTACCGTATGAGGAAGCCCAAAGTCGCTAAGCGACCTAAGGAAAGCTCTACTTTCATAATTACTAAGCGTGATAGAATACTTAATAAGGAAATCAATGGACCTACATTAACTAACATATCCCAATGAATTTAATGTTTTTATTTGCAGGTGTGAATTACTGAGGTCCTGTTTTTTTTTTCGTTAATTTGAAGAGACTAACGAACTTAAGAGTTCACCTGATAGTAAGTGGCTACTGCAGAGTGTAGACCATTGCCACCTGCAACCACTTTCAAGTAAAAAGGACCACACATATGCGTTGTTATAGTATGTTCGCTAAGCAGTGTCGGTACACCCGGAGGTGCACTTATTATTTTCCTTTAATTTTATTACATTTTACTGTATTTGTTAAATAAATGTTATTCCATTCTAAGAATAAAATAGAATACTATTTTATTCTTAAGGTTATTGTAATAAAATACGTATATATAATAAACACAGGTTACGTAGCAAATAATCTTTCACTACGGCGCTTCGTTTTAAATTGCCAAATTTTCCTGCGGTTGTACGCCACATTTGATGTCATGGCGGCGCCTTTGACAAGATGCGGCACGTGCCTAGGCGAACAGACTATACAGCAGGGTTATTTTGCAACAACTGGCCAAATTTGCAGAGAAGGTTCCGAATAAGTAATATAGGCAAATGGTGAAGAAAAATTAATTATATAAAATCTCAAACATTCTGTCCTTTTTATCTTTTTAATTCAAAATGCGTGGTAATGCATTATTTTAACTGATTTTACTGCGCACGCACACATTCGTAAGGGTCGATCGGTAGGCAAAAACGTTGTTGCCCAAAAATCACATTCAATTTGGGATAAATTAATATGAAAGTAGAAGCCTTATTTACTCGTATTTCCAAAAATCAGTATATCATTATTTATATATTTAAACTTAAGTTTAAAATTTGGCTACTCTGTGAAAAATAACCCTGTGTGTCCGAGGATAAGATGGAATGGGCGTGTAATAAAACTCTCTATACTTATCAGACCGGAATAATATCTATAATTACAGTGCACGCGCTACTGCTTGGTGGCAAAAGTAGTATACCTAATGCATAGATAATTAATACGATATTATAATTTTTTAACGTAAAAAAATTCTTTATAGATCTCTAGTGTATTTATTGACTTTAATCAAAAGGTTAATAAAAATGTCTGAAATTCTAAACGGGACCCTTATATATATATACGCGAGGTTTAAACATTACATCTATAAAAACCCCGAAAGATTGCGTATTGAACATAATTATACAAGATTCAAACAATATTCGAGCTTAAGGCAACTACATTAGGAATAATATCGTCCATTGGTTACGTCTAAATATCTACACCATCTGTCTGTCATATTAAATCTAAAACTTAGCTTAATTGAAAGGCATATTGATAATTTACAAACAATTAAGGCCATTTCAATTTCAAGGAAGTCTTTAAAGTCGCCTTAAGTATACACGAAATAAAATTTTCCGAAGAAGCGACATTTTTAGCGCATGGGTAAACTAAGGCTAAAGAGACGAGATAATGAATTTAAACAGGCAAAAAGAAAGCCGTTTTTTTGTAATGTTTTACAATAACTTAGTTTCAAAATGTGGTACACATTACGAATTGGAACATATTTAAAACAACTAGCTCGCCAGGCAGACGTTGTTCTGCCCTTTCCTGAGATGACCCTTTCTCCAATAAAAAATCCTTAAATTCGCAATAAAAAATTTTGAGGGTCATTTAGCGGGATAAAAACTATCCTATCTCTCAAGTTGGACCAAAATGCACACAGTCTGCAAAACTTCATTGTAATCAATTCAGTAGTTTAGGAGTTCATCGCGGACAAACAATGTGACACGTAATTTTTATATATAAAGATTAATAAATCAACAATTAAAAAAGTTAATGCACCCCTGGAATTTCTTTCTTATTCTTTATCTCGTCTTAATAGCTCCACTAGGTTATGGAAGCCTCTTTCGATATTTACTTTCTTTTAAAATATAATTTATGCCTGTTTAAAATATGTTTAATGTTATCTCTACTATGGCCGACCACAAGACCAGACAATTCGCCAACTTATGTATGTTGTTTCCTGTCATTGATACATTAAGTTTGGCATTATTTTTATTAGATGGCATTGTTACGTAAAACGTTAAGATTTTAAAGTCAAAGTCTTTTTTTATCTAGTGCTGTTTAAAATGGGGTACCATATCTGAGGCCCAGAAATAAATAGTAAAAGGAACTCCACAGATATAAAAAAAAATATATCTATTTAGTCTATTTTTCCTGCCAAATCCATAAGTCGTCTTTTAATATGCTAACAGGATGAAATTACTTTTCTAACACAGCCATCAAACGGCTCGTCAGATCTAAAATATAGCCTACCGCTAAATAAATAGAGATGAAATTTAAATATAGTTCACACGTGACAAATAATCAGTTACACTATTCGCCGTCGTAAACAAAATAGATTTTATTCCAAAGTTATAAAATCGACAGTCAAATGATTCATACATTACGTTATAAGACCTCTTTATTTACGCATTATAAAAGTGAATAATTTGCTAATCAAAATGTTTTATTTATTAATATAATAAATTAATAATTAATAAATTCAATAATAAGTTTCAATTTCCAGATTTGAAGCATATTCATCTTATATAAAAAATTCAAAGTGAGGTAATGCAGTCCTAAATTCAATGTTTACTTTTAAATACTTTGGAAATACCACCTTACATGCAAACAAACTAGGTTGTTTTTCAAATGTATCTAGAAATCACGATAAAAAGATGAACCTACTTCGTATGCATTTTAAACACGTCGACGGTCACATGAGCCAAGCTAATCACACTTCTTTCACATTATTTAAAGGCCATATTAGAATGAGCCACTATAAAAAAAGTTCAGTTGTATACAATTTTCACCCTTATTTTTTAAACAGTAACAGTTACAATATCTCATTTATGTCAAAATATGAAAATTATATAAAAATTAAGAATATTCTCATCACATACTTAAAACAGGAAACTGAAACTTATGTAATTAAAATAAAGATGATTTCGAATCGAAGCGAGTTTAATGTCTAATACGTCGATGAATGGCGGGAAATTAGCTTATTGGGAAATACATCCTTATCTCGTAAAAGATAAATTCGAAAGTTAATGTTTTTCAAATCCTTCTAGAAGGACGAAGTACAACATACAGTGTTGATTTTCCTTCATCAAGTACCCATTATCAAACTACCCACATACCTCTTGCAGGAAACTAACACTTATGATAATAGACGAAAAGGCGAAAATAACACGCGGCTTGTTTCCCCGTGCGTCAGACGCCCACTATGGCGATGGGCTGGTGGTTGGCGGTGGGCTGGTCGGGAGGCGATCGTCACGCACGAGGCCCTGACTTCTCGCCCATATGTTTTACGAGCTCCGCTATTAACTCTCTAAAAATAAAAATAAATTATTAATACTATTTAATCATTTATATATTTATACAGCCCCATCAGATGGAAAAACTATATAAATACGTATAATAATACAATAACAGAAACACCCGCATCGTCCGGTTTCTTTCGCATTCCCCCTAACCCTCGTCCGTCTCTCTTCCCGAGGGCTTTCACCTGGTTTTTTTTTAACGAGCACACAGTCCACCTTATGGTAAATGCTTGCTGTGACCCATTGACATCTACATCTATCCTCAGTAAATAATCAAAATTCAGATGCGTCGTCACCCGTGAGGACTAAGATGGAATGCCTCTTTTCCAGTAAAATGGGTCTCCGGTTCTCTACACTCACCATACGAAACACAGCAGTGTCAAGCTGCCATTTTATGCTGGTATTCTGTGAGAGACTGGTTCTTCCCCGGTAGAGCCGACCCATTCGTGCTATAACTGTACTACTAATATAGCTGCAGCATGGCTCTACCACGTATATCTTTTTTTGGTTGGGTTTTATTTACTTCTTTCTACTTTTACTACTTATTTATTTTACAATATTTTATGTGTTTTATTGTGTTCAACATTATGTAGTTTATTTTACGTCATTTATAATTTTTTATATACACGTATACAGCCCAACCAGATGAAAATACTATTTAAATACCTCACATAATAAACCTTTTTAAATCAGATTTCATATCCATAATAGTTAGTAACCATTTGATATAAAATCTTAGAAAAAACTCTTAATATTTGTTAATCGCTTTAAGTAACGTCTCTGTCCAATGTTTTAGGTTTATTTTTTTATTTTTTTTATAGATTCGGTTGACAAACGAGCACACAGTCCACCTGATGGTAAGTGGCTACTATGACCCATAGACATCTACATCTATCCTCAATAAAGACTCAAGATGCAGTTGTGTTGTCACCCGTGAGGACTAAGATGAAATGCCTCTTTGCCAGTAAAAAGGGTCTCCGGTTCTCTACACTCACCATACGAAACACAGCAGCGTTAAGCTGCTATTTTACGCTGGTTTTCTGTGAGAGCGTGGTCCTTCCCCGGTCGAGCCGACCCATTCGTGCTACAACCATAATATAGCTGCAGCATGGCTCTACAACGTATAAAAATTATACTGCCTAAGTAATCAGTATCATCATTTGATTACACTCGTGACTATAAAAGTAATTAATCGACTTTTGACCACCAGCAACCTCCTAATCATCATCATCATCATCACTATAGCCCTTCACAAATCCACTGCTTTCCCCCAAGATGTGCACAAAACACGGTCCCGAGCCACCCACATCCATCGACTTCCTCCTACACGTCTTACCAGATCGTCACTCCATCTACTGGGGAGACGCCCTACACTTCGCCAAACGGTGCTAAGATATATTGCATGATCATCATCATTACAGCCCTTCGCAAGTCCACCGCTGAACATAGACCTGTCCCAAAGAACGCACAAAACACGGTCCTGAGCTACCGGCATCCATCGACTTCCTACATGTCTTATCAGGTCGTCACTCCATCTAGTGTGAGGCCGCCCTACACTTCGCCTACCGGTACGAGGCTGCCACCCGAAAACCTTTTTTCCCCATCGGTTGTCTGTTCTTCGAGCTATATGACCGGCCGATTGCCACATCAGCTTAGTAATCTGTTGGGTTTGTTTGAGTGTGTATATTGGATATGTACAAGTACTATCTAATATCAGTGCACTGTTAAACAGCTTATTCTGGCAAAATCCCTGATTGGACACTATTGTTTAAAGCACATGTTCATCTTGGTTGGCACTAAGCGACACAAAGATGTGCCGATTCTGTTTCTTACCGAAACAAACACTTCTCACGTCCTAACTGATTGTGGATCTCTAATGGGCAAACGTAGCACTCATGTAGGAAACTACGTACTAAGCCCATAAAAAGTGAAATTGCTCACAGCTAAGCAATACCTTCGTTTCATTGAAGATATATGGCTTAGCAGTGAACTAGATGGAGTAAAGATCTGGTAAGACATGCAGGAAGTCGAGGGATTCAGGTGGCTCAGAACCATGCTTTGTGGTATTCCGTGTTCAGCCGTGGTCTTGTGAAGGGCTGTAATGATGATAATGATGATAATCATAGCAGCGATCACATTAGATCTTACAAGTCGCAGTGATACTGGTATTTTAAACCTGCATAGCTGCTTGCAATTTAAAAAGGCATCAGTACACAGTTTGCAAAGCTAGTGTCCTCACCTGTATATGATGGGGTCCATGTTCCTGGCGAGCATGTACAGTAGCCACCAGTCGCCGACGTCGGTCCGTCTCGAGACCAGCGCGGCAGTCTCCATCGCGATGCTCCGAGACCGCGCGTGGAGCAGTCGCGGACGGACCGACGGCACGAAGATTATCACCAGTCTGGAAGGTGGAACGACAAATGAACCTAATGCACCGGTGCTATAGAAGAGGAGGCAAAGTGACCTGCACTGAACGACAGGTGATAGAAGCGACAAAAGCGATGTGACAAAGAAAGGTGACAAACGAGCACACAGTCCACCTTATAGTAAGTGGAAACAATAGACACCTAAATCTATTCTCATTATAAAATAAAAATGTAGATGTGTTATCACCCTTGAAGTGGTGGTGTAAGAATATCCACTACCAATATCATCCCGTGGGTATCATAAGATAAGAGGCGACAGAGGGAAACAAGTCAGGAGATGGGCAACAATAACGATTAAAAATAAAATACTGCGGTTGCCAACCCGCTTGCCAAGCGTGACAACTATGACAACTTGTCATTGACAAGTATCCCCCTGAGGCGAACTACGGGGGAGACCTATGTTTAGCGGTGGACTTTAATAGGCTGTAACGGTAACGGTTATCACTCTTGCGTACGTACACACAGCAGCATTAAGCTCTTATTGTATATAAGAACATATTTATTTATTGCTGCAACATACACAACATCAATTTTAAAAAGAAAACAAAAAAAAACATAAAGGATACTTTAAAAAAAATGGATTGCAGCAAGAAAAAAGGCCACCGTCTCCGCATAATGGCTACAGTAACAAAGTTACCATAGCGCTCATATTGTCGGAGCCACATTAGTTTTATATGCTGATATTCTGCGAAAGCGTAGTCCTTCCCCGATCGACCCGATCGTACTGCAACCGCAATATAGCTGCAGCATGGCTCTTCCACGTAAATGCATGCATGCGGGTTTCCTCACGTTCTTTACCTTCACCACGCGCGAGCGCTGCGTTACCACAGCTCTTATATAGAATATACTCACCTGTAAATAACAAGCAGCGACAGAATGACGGCCAGTATGATGTACCAGAACCAGATGAAGATGTAGGTCTTCTCGTTGACTATGTTGAGCGGCAATATACAGAGGCTGTCGTGCGTCTGGATGCTGCCGGACGCACCGAACTTGTGGAATGTGCACTTGGTGACCCGCGGAAACACGTAGATCATCGGATCATATCTGAAACATTGGCAAATATTGGTCGTTATTATTTTTTTTATAGCATAGAGTGACAAACTAGCACATAGTCCACCTAATGATAAATGGATACTGTGGCCCATAGAAATCTACATTTATCCTCAATTAAGAATCAAAATGCAGATGCGTTGTCACCCATGAGGACTAAGATGGAATGCCTCATTTCCAGTAAAAAGGGTCTCCGGTTCTCTACACTCACCATACGAAACAACAGCGGCATCAAGCTGCTATTTCACGCTGGTATTCTGTGAGAGCGTGGTCCTACCCAGGTTGAGCCGACCCATTCGTGGTACAACCATAATATAGTTGCAGCGTGGCTACCTATCTCCTGATTTGTTTCTCTGTCGCCTCTTACGACACCCACGGGATGATATGGGGTAGTGGATACTCTTACACCGCCACTACACGGTAAACCGCTTCTCTCTCCTTTATCAGCCATTAAATTTTCACAGCTGGACACGGACCTCTGCGTTAGTTATGCGTCGGCTACACAAATACACGTTCCGTGCGGGATTCGAACTCGCGGCCACTACGCAACGGAGCCGTAATCAACAAACTAATGAGCTTGTAAAGATAAGCATCAAAATGTAGCTCTAGAAGTGTAACCCTCCAGACCAAATTTCTGTCATTGTCAGGCTTAATGGAGATGAGTCATCTGCGAAGGAGCCCGCAAGCACAGGTGCACTCCCCTCACTCTCATGGTCCGATGGGAGGGCAACCCGACGCAACTGGAGATCAGGCGCAGGACCAACGGCTTTACGTGCTTTGCGAGGCACGGGGGTGAAACACCGCAAACTTCCAGATTCCTGGCTGCTACAGAGATTTCTTGGCAAAATACCCCAATAATTGATTCTGGCCCAACCCGGGATTCGAACCCAGGACTCATAATCAGCAACCGCGTTTATGATTACTAGACCAATGAGGCGTTTATGTTATTGAGATTTAATCTCTCAGAATACTTACAACATACTATACCAACTACATCTATTTCTGAAATGTTCTCAATCTACAATCATGTTGTAACAGTATTCCCGAAGGAGCAACGACCCACCTCTGTTCTTGCGGCACCTCGCTGTAACCCAGCACTCGCGTGCCGTACGAAAAGAACTCCCCGTTGAAGAACTTGTCCATCATCCAAAGCTGCAGCACAATGTTGATGAGGCACAACAGCTCGCAGCCCCAGTACCTCAAGGCGTATAACTTGTGCATCTAAAACCAAATAATTTATCGTCAATAAGCCTCAAAAAAGTGTTTCCAGTGATGACTTATCGATCTGAGACGTGGTTCTTCACTGTTGACCGTATGAGGAAGTTCAAGCCCGCTTGGCGAGCTATGGAGATGGCTATGCTCGTGGTTTCTTTGCGTAATAAACTTAGAAATGAGGATATCCGCAGTAGAAACAGAGTAACCGACATTGCCCAACGGCTTAATAAGCTGAATTGGCAATGGGCCGGTCATATAGCTCGAAGAACCGACAACCGGTGGGGAGAAAGGTTTTCGAGTGGCAACCTTGTACCGGTAGGCGAAGTGTAGGCACCCTCACTAGATGGAGTGAAGACCTTGTCAGATTCGATGGATGCAGGTGGCTCACGCCGTGCTTTGTAGCTTTATTTGGATGAGGACTATGTTTAGCAGTGGACTTCTGAAGGGCTGTAATGATGATGAGTTGTGACCATTTTCTTGTGGCCGATTTTGGGCCAATATATTTGTGTAATATACTTAGTGCATACAAACAATTTCTAATCGAACAACTGTTAGTTGTATGTTCACACACACCATTCGCGCTTACATTAAAATATGTACAAGTTGTACTCAAATTACTTTTTCTAAATGCCGTTAATCCTTGAAATGTATTCAATGTCTGATGCAGGCGATAACGAGGAGGACCCATCTAATATTTTGTTTATGTTTGTAACTTAAGAAAATAAATACATTTGTTTATTTTTACTGTGTGAAAAATCTATGAGAATGTATGAAGGTCCGCATATTAACAATTTGATAGTGTGTTCAACAAAAAAAAATCAAAGCTTTTTGACGAACTATCGACCGACAGTATGTTACCATATTATATTTGGAGGCGTATGTATATGTCGACTATAATATGTTCGATCCGCGACAATTTAGTTGTGCAATAGCACCGTTAAAACACTACCTTCTTTTTATATTTTGTAAAGCTAAAACGAGCACTTTCATATTTATCATGGAAGTTGTAATTATTTAGTACTAGCAGGTCCCGGCTCTTTGCTGCCGCAAAAGAAACCATTGTGGAAATATATTTTCAAATTTGGAAATGTGAGTTATATTGTTGAATTGGAAATGATACCTAATGCATTCAATGAAATTGAATGATATAATAACTTTCAAATAAATGTTTCGGTACAATACGCGTGCCACCTTCTGTAAGTTAAGAAAAACTGAGTACTGTTAAACGACTTCCCAATAGAGAAAACTAGTAAATTGATAATGACAGGTTGCGGTATGCGCACCGCCATCGACCAAACAATTACAACCGTCATGAAATCGTCACAAACACAACTCGACTAAGCAGTTTGATAGATTTAACAAATGTATCAATGTGGTAAACCTTAGAGATGTCGCGGTTAGGACGCTATTATCCTAAATTCAACATTATTACATTTTTCCAATCGCTGATTAGCATTAATTAATTAATAAAAGTGTCTATTATACTACAACGTACAATAATTATTATTCGACATAAACTTTGAAAAAAAAAACTACTAATGTAAGATGAATCAAACTATAATCAAGTTTTATTCTGTGTGATCAACAACATTAGTATTATTACCGTTTATTAATAAACTAACTGATACCCGCGACTTCATCCGCGTTTATTGATATATTAACAAAGAAAACACACATCACTAAATACGTAGTACAATTACTGCAAACCACTATCATTTTATTTATATAGATATTATAATTATATAAAAAAAATATAAAACCTAGCTACATACCAGTTAAGTATTTATGTAAGTCGGTCATTAGATTTCGATAGTGGTAATAGTAAGCCAATTTTTTTATAGAATAAGCATGACAAACGAGCACACAGTCCACCTGATGGTAAGGTATGCTTGTAGCCCAGTCGATTAAGAACTAAAATGCGTTGTCACGCCTGAGGACTAAGATGGAATGCCCCGTTTCGAGTAAAATGGGTCACTGGATCTCTACACTAACCATACTAAACACATCAGCATAAAGCTGCTATTTTAGGCTTGTATTCTGTAAAAGTGTGGCCCTCCCTGGTTGAGGCGACCCATTCGTTCTACAACGTTATTATAGCCGTAAGATGTTTCTACCGCGTAAAGTATATTTGTAGCAAAAAGACAAATTTGGTAGTATCGAAACTACTGGAGACATGTTAATGCTAATAATCAATAAATATATATATATGATACTTGGGGCAATATTCCGCTCAACATAATAACTGCTCGGGGCAAACTGAGCAACAAGACCAAGGCGACCCCTGCCACGCTACCCGTGAATTTCTGCATAATCAGGGGACTTCACTCGAACCTGAACGCCGTCCACTACCATCTCGAGACGGCGAAGCCGGCTTTGCTCTTTGTGACTGAGACGCAGGTGTTCTCTCCAGCTGATACTTCGTATCTCTCCTACCCGGGGTACAAATTGGAACACTCCTTTGTGCCTCGGGCTGGAGTTTGCGTATACGTCAGAGAACACATCTGTTCCCGACGCCTCGGCAGTCTTGAACTCTTGAATGTTCGGACCTGTCCATCCTTTGGCTACACGTAGATAGCGACGACCATCCGCGCGTCTACGGGTAACTCTATAGATCCCACAGCGGTAATCTCGAAACAGACCAACTCATCGACCACGTCCAAATGGCTACAGATTCCTTGCTACAACAGGTCCCATCCACAGAGATCGTGATCCTTGGTGATTTTAACGCCCACCACACCGAATGGCTCGGTTCACGTTTAACCGAACATGCGGGGAGATCTATTTATGACTTTGCCTTGGCATATGGTCTGACACAACTGGTTACTTCGCCTACGCGGATTCCAGATGTGGAGGATCATACACCTTCCCTGTTGGACCTTCTGCTGACCTCTCACCCGAACGGATATCAGGTTTCCGTCGATGCCCCTCTCGGCTCTTGGGACCATTGTCTGATCCAGAGTGATGTGCCACTCACGCTCCCCTCGCGGTTGCGTTCTGCAGGTTGGGGGCGGGTTTGCTTCTCGCCGGATCATCCCAGCGCTGTTGCTGACTCTGTCACTGATGTGGTGCTACAGGGAATGGAACTATTTATTCCATCATCTATGGTACCCATCGGAGGCAGATCTCAGCCTTGGTTTGGTCGCTCCTGTAAGAATGCATTACGCAGTAAGCAGGAGGGCTATCAGGCCTGGGCTGAGGCTTCGGCAGCTCGGGATGTAAACACCAGCATGCTTAAAAAGGAGTATAACTTCGCCTCCAGGTCCTTCAAAAGAGTTATTGCCAAGGCAAAATCAGAGCACGACAAATCGAGTGACGTGCAGTTTCGTGGTCACTTGGAAGAGAAGGCCAAATCAGCCTCTAAAAAGCTTGGCGTGCTCAGTAGAGCAGGACAGTATTTCCTGAAGGCACAACGCCTACAACTTTACAAGGCGCAGGTTCGGCCTCAGATGGAATACTGTTCCTATCTCTGGGCTGGGGCTCCCCAGTGCCAGCTCTTTCCACTTGACCGCAGCAGAGCGGCTCGAATCGTCGACGACCGAGTCCTTTCCGATCGGCTCGATTCATTGGCGCTGCGAAGAGATGTTGCATCTCTTTGCATTTTCTTTCGCATTTACCACGATGAGTGCTCTGAGGAATTGTTCGGATTAATCCCAGCCGCCAAATTTCACGAACGCACATCGCGGCAGAACTCCCGATGCCATCCACACCATCTGGATTATTGGGGGTCCACCACTGTGCAATTTAGAAGATGTTTTCTTCCTCGCACAACTTCCTTGTGGAATAGATTACCATCAGCGATTTTTCCGAACCGATACGACTTAGGGACCTTCAAGAAAAGAGCCTACTCCTTTTTAAAAGGCCGGCAACACATCTGCACTTCCCCTGGTACCCTGGTGTTGCGGTTGTTCATGGGCGGCGATAGTCACTTTCAGGTGAGCCGCACGCTCGTTTACCCCCTGTCCTATAAAAAAAATAATTTTAGTGATTAATGCGCCATAGGTACTAAGCGCGTATAATATCTAACCTACAAATTGTAAAAGCAAATATTCACAGCAACTTTCATGTGTCGTATAGTATATTATTTATACAGTATGATGTAATATTTTCTTCCCGAATTAATGTCAACCAATGCACTGGTGTAGTGGTGTACTATGAAATAAATTAAACAATATTAAACAATGAGGCGTTACGCAAGGAATGCTATTGAGCGTACCTTGACCTCACGCATCATGAGACTGCCGACATTGTCCTGTTAGGAATGTTACAATAGATTGATAAACATTAGACAAACTAGAGTTATCGTCATTAACGACTTAACTTAATTATTTAATATATTATTGACCGTTTACATGTGTAACGCAATGCATGTTTTTAGTTTTTACCCAATTTCAAATAGATGGAAGTTATCAATTCGACTGCATTTTTTTTTTTGTGTAAAATAGAAGTTATAATTGATAGAATCAGGCGTTACTTTGCGGAAATCAATTATACGAGGGGACACAAAAAGTTTTTAGAACTGGCCACTTGTAAAAGATATAATAAAAAACTAAGTTCAAATTTTGAAAATGGAATTCAATTCAACTTCTTTGCCAATATTATTGTGTGTGTATTTTATTAATTTGTCATTTGATTACGATTTGGCGGCAAATTGAAAATTGTCTGTGTCACGTCGGCAAGAATTTAACGCGAGAAAATTTTCGTACAATAATTTTTTATGATTTTCGATGTCATTTAAGTCAACAAGAAAGTTATGATAGACTTCGACTGTCCTTTCACGATGAAGCCACTGTTTATAACTGGTTTAATGAGTTTAAACTTAGTCGCACTAATCTCACCGATGATCTGCGTGATGGACGGCCTTCTACAGCGACGACTGAAGATAACATCAGTGTTGTACGGCGTATGATAGAGACTGACAAAAGAGTGATTTATCAGCAGATTCGCACAAGCTTAGGCATCGGTATGAGTCAAGTGCACAAAATCCTTCATGGACACTTAGCGGTCAG